ATTAGTGTAAAGAAATTTTGTGTCTTTCCAGACATCTCCCTCCACTTTCCTCCATCCCACGTAATTCTAAAATTTAAAAGAAACAATAAATTATGTCATATCCTAGCCGTGGTTCAACAAATGTCTTTTAAAATACCTACAATGTGCCAGATACTAGAGGCAGAATGATCAACAGAAAACAAAACTAATTTAATTAAAAATATAGCTTAACTAGACTTGTCTATGGTTTCCTGCTCTACTCACAGCTTCATCCCTAATGGGGTCTCCTTTCTCTGTGATTACACACTCTGATCCTGGTATGTGAATTCTTCCCTGGCTACAGCTGATTAAGTGAGGGAGGAAACTTAACCCAAGGGGAGTTAGTGCAATGACTTGAAAATGGTGGACTGGTTTTTTATCAGACTTTTTTCGCATAAATCAGAACCTGAACAGAGGGTTGCAGGGGCTACTTACACAGAAAGTCTCCTGGAGTTACGGTGAGGCAGCTATTTTGGAGTTTCCTGTTCTACCAAATTATGAGGAGGGAGAGTATCAGAGATCAGTGATCAGGTGGAAAGATGGGAGTGGACACACAGAAAAGTAAAGAAGTATGAGAGGACAAGAGTGAGAAAATATCCACTCTTTTCTTTACTTGAATTAATTTGACTAGTTTTATATTTCTTATAACCTAATTTGTATTTCTTGTGCAGGCGATATCCTCAGTATATATTTGCTGAATGAATGAATGCATGGGGCATTGTGTCCTAAATGCTTGGTGTGTGCATCAAACAGATACGGTCCCTGACATCACAGAGTTTACAGTACAGTGGAGAAGACAGACTTTACATATTTGATCCTGATCATAACACGAGTGTTGATACTTATTATATGATTCAGGAGGCAGAGGATAAAACAATAATTATTAATTGTTGTAGTATTAGAACTTAACAGGGGGTCAGGTGAGAGTTTCAGTGTTGTTGATCATGGCCAATGGATATGGAATGCACTAGAAAACTAGTATGATATCATTAGCAAATAAAATTAATTGCACTTAACAAAAATTCAGCCTGGGCTGGACTTTTCTCTCTCTCCTTCCCTTCCTCCCTCCCTTCCTTCTTCTCTTTCTCTCTTCCTTTCTTTTTGAAATCTGGCTACAATATTGTGCTAGTGGACATATTTTAGTTTGGTGCAAGACGTGCATAACAAAATAAGTGAAAAGCTATCAATGTTAGAGAACACATATATTATTTATCCCAGTGACTAAGGAGTAGTAAATAATTTTGTCAAGCTGCACTGTAACATTCAAATTTCATCTCTATTATGGTTAATTGGCCAAGAATTTACAACTCTGGACTCCATAGAATGGGGGGAAAGTGTATTCACTTGTACCAATAGATCACTGAATGTATTAACTGTACCTTTCTTAATTCATTCTCTCTCTTTTGCTGAAAAAAATGCCTCTCAAATACATCATTTTTCCTAGTCACTGGAAAACAGTGCTGCACAATGGGATTGTTATAATGTACTTAAAGTTGGCACCTATGTCTCATTGGCATGTAGCGAGCTTGCGTGAAACTGCTTTGATCTTTGCTGGCTTTTTAGCTGAAAAGATTTGGAAATCTTTTGGCACTGGCGAAGACAGCAGTGCTCTACTGGCTGTTTATAGTTGGCCGATTTTTAGCAACAGATACAACAGTCTTTGTCGAAGTCAATTTATTAATACATAATACGCAACATGTTGCCTTAAAAGCAAATGCTTATTTTTCTCATATCAAAAAATCCTCCTGGTGTTTGCCTCCATCCAAAGATACTTAAAAGGGGTCTATGTTTTCTTTTCTGTCTTCTCCACTATACTGTAAACTCTGTGATGTCAGGGACCATATCTGTTTGATGTACAAACCAAGCATTTAGGACACAATGCCCCATGCATTCATTCATTCAACAAATATATATATATAGTGAGAAACCTTTGTCGAGAAATAGTACTGCAACCCTCTGAGCTTTAGAGGTTTTCTAGGTAAAAGGAGTTTTTCATGATGTAATTGACATTCTAACTACTCAGCTGGACTCAAGCTTTCAAGGGCTAAGTGCTTTTGCTGATTTGTTTGCATTCCCTACTCCAGCTACAAGAATTCAAAGACATGAAGAGTCTATTGTGAAAAATGTATAAATAACGCAAAAGACCTCCTCAAGTGGACTATCAGAAAGGGTACCAGTGCAGTTACTGCTTTTTAATACAATTATGAAACACTTAAGCCGAAATAAAAGTATAACCATCTCAAATTTGTTGAGGCAATTATACTTCGTTTGCAAAACATATATATTGCAAAATGATTACTGCGTTTTTGACATAGAGTCACAATTCTCTGATTCTTCGTGTACCCTGTAGCCTTGCATAGACGTAAGCACATTGAAATAACCAGTCGCCAACTCCAGACTTCACAGAATGAGCTCAGCAAGGAAAGTTTTGCCTGCGGGCAAGGCATGCTGGACTGTGCTGTGACCCTGGGTCTGGTGGAGGAAGGTACCAAGTGTGGGGCATGTGATGGCACTGGGTCCAGGGGCGCGCGACGTCTCTTTGGCTTGTGCCGCTCGGGTCCATGACATCACAGCTTTGCGGTCCTTGGTGAGCATGTAGGAGGCCTACAGTAGCTGCAAGGGCTGTTGGGGTCCTGTTATGCCTCTAGGTCCAGCAGCTGGTCACCAGGAAGGCAGTGAATGGCGGCTAGAGCCAGCAGCGTGCTTACTCTTGGGGCCTGATGCAGAGGCTTGTGTGGTAGCTCGGATCAGATGCAGGCACACATAGTGGTGGGGACCAGGGTGGGCGGCAAGGGTTGGGCAAGTTATGGGCTCACTGGCAGCTGTTGGGGCCCTGGCTGTCGATGTGCTTTCCTGTGGCTGCACAGTCTCCCCGTGGGTGTGTGCACTGCAGAGGAGGCCGATAATGGGGGATTGGGCCAGGCACATGGCTGGAGGGGCTACCTGCAGGCAGTATGGCGCAGTGTCTTCCAGTGGCAGAAGACACGGCCTGGTCCAAGCCCAGAAGCAGCTGCAGGGATCCTGCTTGTCAGAAGTGCCTCTGCAGCTGCACTGTTTCTGTGCACACTGCAGTGGACACTGCTGCCAGCTGTCAGGCTAGTGGTGTGCAAATGCACAGCTGGAGGGGCTCTTTCAAGTGCACACTAGGAGGTGGGGGTCAGCTGTGGAGTCTAGGCTGGCATCTTGCGCTCATACAGCCACAAAGGCCGAGGCTGGCCACCAGTGCAGTTCCTGGGCTCTGGCATGGGTGAGGAGGAGGTAGCGGGGAAGGACTCAGGTGGCTGGTGTCAGCAAACGCAAATTCCTGTGGGGCAAAAGCTGGTGAAATCCACAGGGGGTCTGTGGCAACGGTGCTGGTGTTAATTTCTTCAGTGGTGAAATCTGGATTTGTCTGCAGAGCAAGTCACTACAAACCGTGCCTTGCCTAAACTTGTTGATTCTTTTCCTAGATAGAAAGAAGTAAGAATGAAGAATGAAGGAGTTAAAGAATGACTAGTTCTCAACCCCCAAAGCCCCCTTAGCAAGCCTACAGACAGAACACACGCAAGATAACCTCTGAAGAGAGAGTCAGCCAGTCTTCATGAAGTGGGGAAGGATGCTGAACCCAACCTCCTCCTCTGATGATTCACTGAGATTCTTCCCCCTATCTGTCCCTTTAAAACTATCGTGGCTGAGCAGAATCTTTGGAGTTGGTCTCTGGACACAAGTCCACCTCCTCCCCAGATTGCTAACTTTTCTGATTATAACACCTTTCCTTTCTACTGACACTTACCCCTCGATTATTGGCTTTTGAACAGCAAGTGGCTGAACCTGACTTCGGTAACAAGAACTCTGCAGAGTTGATTTGTTCAGAGATAGCTGTCTAATTGTTGATCTTTATGAGGGGTTGGAGGGTGGAGTTTCTTCTGAATTGTTTCATATTGTTCATCAGATTTTCAAAAAGGCTGGGGAGAATATTAAGAATAGTTGTACCATGTGACGTATGTAAAATATTTGTTAAATGAATGCTTGAATTTGGACTGTATTTCTTCTTGACAGATTTCTTCTTGAAAGATTTCTCCTTTAGAAACTCCTCAACTAACAAAGGTTAGAGTCTGTTATTTTACATCAGCAAATGGGTAAACATTAAAAAAATTGTTTCCTTTCCCAGAGCTCCCTGCTCCCCTTTTCTGGAATCTTTCTTGTTTGAGAGACAAAGTACTTGTGAATGTCAGAGAAGCTACGCAGTTGCGGTCGAAATCCTTCGGGGCCATTTTTCCTTCAAATGAAAAGCCCCGGCTGTGCTGCAGCCGGAAACACAGCCGTCCATGTCTTCAATTAGCGCAGGGCCCAGGCTCCCACGGGGACACGGCGGGTCCCATTCAGCTTGGCTCCACTCCTCTAGCAGCAAGGCTGTGTCTTGGGCCAAGCAAGGCCCTGGTGAGAGAGAGAGCGGGGAGGACATGGCAGAGCCTGAAAACTTGCAGGTGTGAAGACCAAACTTTGCATTGATCTAGAATGAAGACTTTTTTGTCCCTCCTAAACTGCAAGTATTTGAAATGCTCAGTGGTGTCTTTGGGGTGGGAAATTAGCATAACTTCCTTCTCTCACAGTCAGGTCTTCCAGCCTCCCAGTGGGGTTTCCCTTTGAAATAAGAGTAGTGTGTGTGAAAAGGATTCAGGAGCAAGGCTTGGAGGCCAAGAAGAAAAGCAACTGGCCTATTTCCCATCCAAAGAGTAACCAGATACAGCTGTAACTTTAGACTGAGGTGCTTGGGAAAATGATTTTTATTATTATTTATTATTTTTAAGAAGCCAGTGTGCATTGCTGAGGAAAGGACCTAAAATGTAGCTGAGGAAATCCAGCTTTGATGATACAGCTAAAATACAATGTAGAATTTAACAAGCTAGTTGATTTTATTTCTTAAAAAAAGCCATAACAATTAATATTTTTAAAATACAGAATGATTAAATGTCAACTTAGAAATACAATCCAGAGTTTCTGAAACACCCAGAGGGTACAACATACTTATAGCCTTTTCCTATTTCCTTCCATATTAGCTACATTCGAGTTTGAGCAATGATTGAAGGAAGTTAGAATGCTCTTGTGTTTTCACTACCTGTGGGAGCCATAACAAGATCTCAGCTGAAACAGGAAACATACAATAAATCCTCCTTTTATGACTGGAAGTGAACGTAGTTTATGGTGTTTGCAATAGTTACGTAACTTTGTGGAGGAAACAAGTAAATTATATTGTAAGTTATGTATTACTAAATAGCCTCTGCTGAATAGTAGCCTGTTTTGTGTATTTGCCACCTCTTTGTGATAGTAGCTTGTGTCTGCACTGTAGGTAGCACATAATCAGCTGCGATGCTGAAATGAAGAGAAAAGAGGCATGCGACAATGAGTTTGTGAAAGGTTCTGTGTAATGGGATTTCCCATGAACAAATTAGAGCAAAAAAATGATATACTGTATTTTATTAGTTTGAATAGAAAAAAAGTTAGGTGACTTAAAAACTAGGAAATATTTTAAGAATTACGGCTTATTGGCTCAGTATTTTTTTCAAGGAGTGTTCGTGTTTGACCTAGAGATGAGAGAGAGGCATAAAGTCAATGATCTGAACGGTGCTCACACTTTCTTTTACCCCATTCAAGACAAATTCAACGTAGTTATTCTTTAATTACTGTTGCCAGAAAGATAGCCTTTAAAAGAGAAAGAAAAGAAACAATCTTTTTTTCTGAGTCCAATTTGTTTGAAAATCCTATATTGGAGTCACCATGTTAGGTGGGTTTGAACCAAACTCTTTTTGTTCAAGTCAGTCTGTGCACCTCAGATCCACATTCGGTGATGTTCCAGGATACCTGCAGTGCCACTCCTGTCTGATTCTGCATCAGCCTGTGACCTAAATGAGAGTGGATGTAGTTGGGATGAGACTTGTAGGGTGTATCACTCACCTTGACACCATGGAAGGGTCCAGCTTAGTGTCTTTAAATTGTTGAGAAGTCTGGGCTCTATCTCCAGTGTAAGGTTTTCAGATGTAGTAGTGATCATCAGTCTCGCTGCAACCAGGCTGTATTTCGAGAAGGAAAAGAGACATTTCTTCATATAAATGGAAGGCTAATTCCATCATAGGATGCATTCATCTGAAAAGGGATTGATGTGCAAGTGGAAATTCAGAATTTCAGTTTCAAATACATTGAAACTAAAATTCAACCTTTGAGTAGTCTGCATCTGTTTTCATTCATGGTTCTTGCTCTGAGTGTCGTGACTGTGGCTACTGTCCTCATGAAGCATTTTGTGAATCAGAAAACAGATTACAAAGACCAGAAGTTGCAGGACTATTAACTAAAGTGTTTAGACTTAAGTGAGATGCATTTCTCCTGAGTGTCAGAGGATGGCTACCTCATGGCTACATGCATTATGAGTAAAATAGTGTGGGCCCCATAAAAGTGGGGGGGAAAACCCACAAGCCACATTCAAGAAGACTAAAAAATAAAAAAGAATCTCCTTCCATGCAAACTTTACACTGAATGTTTTGGCACATATACAATTCTCCTCTATGTGCTGTTTTCTAGAGTATACAGTAGCTTAAGTAATAATGCAAAAATTGATTCAGTAATGATTCCTTTATTTTTTGTGCACAACACCGAGGCCTTCTGTCATATCTAGTTGAACCTCAAACTTCTATAGCTGAAAAAGAACATTTCAATATTTATTTTTTTTAAAGCATTCTTCTTAAGAGCCAGCATTCTACAGAGAGGATTGGGATACTTGACTCTAAGGTGACATTCCCTAGTAGATTAGGTTAAGCAAAGATCAAGAATAGACTCCTGGTCAGTTTTATTTTTTTTCTTTTAGCTAAACTGCCAACATTTCATTTAACTGTATAAAGAACTGCTATTTCAGTTGAGTAGCATGGTTCATTTTGTAACATTAATAACTTTCTTTAGTTCAGAGTTCCAAAGTGAATTCTAATATGTAAGAGGTTAATGTAATGCAGGGCAACTTCCAGACAAAGTAGTTTTTTTTTTTTTCCTTTTTTCTTTTGTTGGGGAGGTAATTAGGTTTGTTTATTTATTTTTAGAGGAGGTACTGGGGATTGAACCTAGGACCTCCTGCATGCTAACCATCCACTTTGAGCTATACCTTCCCCAGACAAAGTAGGTTTTAAAGAGACCTATGAATAAGAAACTAAAATAAATTCCTAGGTATCAAAAATACCCTTTAAATAGAATTGGTGAATAAAGTATAAATTAGTAAAAAATATGGATTAAATTTTTTGACAATATTCATTGACTTAAGAAAAATATACTGGTTGGAAAATACGTTTTGCTAAACATGAAACATCTGAAAAATAACTTGAAGTTTTTGCTAGTTTACAATATGCCAGAATTTACTCATCCCTAATTTTTGTTGCTTTTTCAAATATTAACCTATGGTATTTAAGAGCATCTTCACAAGAGGAACTATCTCCAAGGGGTTGTTATGTAAACTGTCTAAGACCAATGCTGCATACTTAAGGACAGATTTATTCCAGGAGTTACTGTAAGATAGAATTATCTGCATTGGATTGATGTAGAATATCAACAAAAACACATAAAAATGCAATATGGGAAAAAGCATTTAACGGTAGAGGCAGGCATGGTCTGGGCAGCTGTAGGCATCCCGACTACAACCCTGCATGGCCCCTGCCATTTTTGCATACGCTCTTACCTCTATTCACTTTGTCTTCTTTCACATTCACCTCTGCCTTCCTTCTTTTATTTCCCCTTTTCTATATATTTCAATCTTTTCTTGCTCTTCTATCTTCCCCCTTTATTTTAGGTTATTGAGTTTTCTGCAGCCTTGTCCATTGGAGGAGAAAGAGGACATCTACTTCTAATTGTGATTCCTTGTATTGACACACTATGTCCAATGGAACATTGCTGTGTGTTTCTCTAATATAAAACAGGTCAATGTATAATGGGAGGGAACCTTAGTACCATTTAGTTTGCAGCAACATCCTTCAGCTGTAGGTGGTAAAAGGAGAGACACTGCCCTGGAGTTGGTGGTATAGATTAGACTAGGTCAGGGGCCTGAAATCCTTGGGTTCAAATCCAACTCTGCTACTTACCAGCTCTTTGCTGTTGGGCTGACTTAAAACTCAGTGTTTTAGTGAGGATTAAATAAGATAATGTATCTCAAGCATTTAGCACAGAGCTTGGCATACAGAAAAACATTTTTTAGGAGGTGAGATGGACAAGGGTTTGGGACCCTATTGAGTATGTTGGCTCCACTAGGTGTTCCTAAGGGTTAATTTACCCCCTTAAGAATCAAATACCATTCCACCAACTGCAGAAAATCTAATGTTTTCCCAACAGATTTCCATGAATCCCTAAGGAGCTAATGGTCATGGTCACCTACGGCTCCAGTTTCCTGCTGCTGCCAAATTATTTGTTAAGGAACTATCTCACCGTCCCATGCAAGTGTCCATGTTTTGTGCCACTTCCACCCTGACGTGTTACCCAGTGATTTTCTTTAATTTCCATACACATACAAAAATTATTCACAATAGATATTTATTTGTATGTAGTAAAAACTTGGCTGCAGTTTCAGATAAAGGAATTTGTATCACAGACAGGTTAACTTACAAATTAAATGTTGGATATTCTTGATGTTTTAAAAAGCCTTGGCCATTTTGGAAAAGTGGGCTCTGGTTTCTGTAAAATGATGATAAATAATAATAATATCTATGGAGGGAGATTATAGCTCAAATGGTAGAGTGCATGCTCAGCACCCGAGGGGTCCCGGGTTCAATCCCCCATACCTCCTCCAAGCGGAAATCAATGAAGTCAACCTAATTACCTCCCCATCAGGAAACAGACAATAGTAATAATATCTAAATCATAGGGTTGTTGTGAGGGCTGACTGAGAGAACGAATGACAAACACTTAGAACAATGCCTGGCATGGAGTGGCTGGCCATTACTCTCACTCTTGCGATCATCATCACTGTTACTGTTCTCTGACCTGCCACCAGTGCCGCCTCCTTTCTCTCTCTCTTCCCTTTCTGCTGCCACCCACGTTCCTGTTTGTTGTCTTGGTGGCTGTGACCTTTAGCTCTGGCATTCATCCAAGGTATTTGTGAAAGCATTTCCTAAACTGAGATAGTTTCCTTTGCAAGAAGAATTCTGCCTCTAGCTGATAAGGTAAAAGGCATTGGTGGTTTTTTCCGCCTACTACTTATATATTTTCAGCTTATAAAATAAATGTATTTAAGAAGGTAGTTTCCAGATATATGCTATATTCAGATCAGATTCATCTGTGTTTCTTTAAGCAGTCTCTACCTGCTAACTACCCAGTTTACTTAGTGACCCGATAGTATGTTTCTTAACTTTGTACAAGAGTGTATACTCCTTGTGGGGAGGGTACAGCTCAGTGATAGAGGGCATGCTTTGCATGCATAAGGTCCTGGGTTCTATTTCCCAGTACCTCCATTAAAATAAATAAGCCTAATTACACCCCACCACCACCCAAACCCTGCACCTAGAAAAAGACAATATATTCCTTGATGGCAGGGCTGTGTCTGACACATTTTGGGTTGACAGGAGATATTCACGTAATAAATAGCAACTGGTTGATTCTCTCCCTGTCTCCACCATCGTGGTGTGTGCAGTTGACTCCTTTCCTTCTCTAGTTTTTCACAAGACTTTCAGGATCAAGCGATTTCTGGCCAAGAAACAAAAGCAGAGTCATTTCATTCCCCCAAAGATTTCAAATGAATATTCACAATACAGTCAGGTACAACTCCAAGAGGAGACATTGGCAAAGAATTGCACATCTGGTGGCCACACATTTATGCTGTTAGGTCACTAACATTTTACTTTATCAAGCTGAAAAATTGTCACCACTGGTATGGATGGGCATATTTTATTGGGAAAATTTTTTTTCTTTATGCTTCTGCACTAAAGGTTGGTTCAGCAATAAATATGTGAGACTTTAATTTTTCAAAGCTGATTGAATGAATAGATGGAACAATTATGAGTATATTCAATTCCAAGGAATAAAAGGGTTTTTTTATTTGTGCTAATTTTTCTTTTCCTTTCTTTTTTTTTTTAATTTACACTGTTGTATTAGTTTCTAGTGTACAGCATCATAATTCAGAGATCGATATATAATCTCTCTCTCTCTATATATATATATTCTTTTTCATTACAGGTTACTACAAGCCATTGAATACACTGAATATAGTTTCCAGAAGAAAAGTATTTTTTAAAAGAGCGAGGGGAAAAAAGCGCCAGCAATCTTTTTAAAGGTAGCGTGGAAACTTATACTTCATTCGCTCCCTCACAGCAGGGGTGGAAGAGGTGACGTGGATTCCGCAGAGACCACCCCTCTGCCCGAGCTGAGCCCACCTGCAGAGGGGCACCCTGGGAAAGCTTCACCGGGGCTCACCTCCGTGCAATCCAGGTTTGCAGCGTGTGTACGTGTGTGCATGGGTCTGCTTGCGTGAGTGCGTGTGGATGGATGTATCTGTACGGCAGGTGCACCCGCGCAGGAGCAGGGGCTGGGGTGGAGGCGGAGTGGGAGTGGCGCTCTTTTCATCCCTGTGTCCAGCTGAGCCTTTTTTTTTTTTTGACAGTTTTGGATGCGTTTGGTATTTTAAAAATCTTGCAGGTATCCTGCATACTGCAGTTTAGGACATTTTATATGAAAGGGGATATGTAGGTAATTCTTAGAGCTCAAAGATCAATCTTCATCATCTGCAAAAACCACGGATTTGACACCTGTTCTGCTTTTCCTGATGTTCCCTAATTGAGATATTCCTGTATTTTACCTTCCTTAAGAAGAAAGAGGAAAATGAATGATATTTATTCACTTTCTGAGCTGTAATCTCTTAATATTTATTGAAGACAAATACCTCTAGGATGTAGCAAGGGCAGCCCACCCCCACCTACACCCTACCTTGGCAGAGCTCATCAGCTCTGTTACTTACACTAATGCTGGGGAAGACTTCCAGTTAGAACTGGCTGGGAAAAAAAGTAGAATGAGGGGCAACAACGGAGTAAACAGCACCAATGCAGAGGAAAGTCAAGGAGGGAAGTTGGAAGGATGGAAAGAAGGGAGGGCATGAGAAAAGGGGGAAAGCAAGGAAGAAGGAAGAGAAAGGGATGTGTTGTGGGAGAGATTCTGGGGCCGCTGTGGATTTACTCAGTATTCACTGTGGAGGGTGGAGGGTCGGAATGGAGAGGGATCTGATACCTGGTCATTTTCTTTGGTTTTTTTAATTGAGATATAATTGATGTATAACATATTAGTTTCAGGTGTACAATATAATGACTTGATATTTGTATATGTTGCACAAAG